GGATATCCGTAACATTCTTGGACTCAGTGATGAAGCTCCAATGATTTATGGGTATTATAAGTTGGTAGTAAGTTTCAATCTGTTTAAAGAAACATGAACTGTTACAAAGGCTGGTTATATTAACAGATCTTCAGGTCCTAACTATTTTGTATGGTCAATTCTAAAGACTATTATCCTTGAATTCCCACGGTAAAATTTTCAACACTTTTATTACTGTTAATACTTCGGTTTATTGAGGAAAAACTCTCTCATTTGTTTTGGCTTTTTTGCCTGCTGCTTTCCAAAATGCATTAAATAGCGTTATCTATGATCTGGAGGACGTTGCAGTGTTTCAACGTTATTTTATTATTAGTGATCCTTGTAAGATCTTCTTTGAAAGCAGAAAATATGAAAATCCCTCCACATACACTGTGCTGTGATTTATTCTTCGTGATTTTTTCAGATGTACATTTTGTTGATCCTGTATGGCAAGTGAAATATCACTGAGTCCTAGCCAAATCATCAAACATTTGGGTCAGCCAATGTTGAACAGTTCGTCGATCCTTGTCAAGAACAATGGCAAATAATGCGCATCAGCAAATTGCACACTATGGACTAGCCCACGTAGCAGTGACCGTGCTCTGTTCCTTGTACCTGCTCATACCAATGTATTCCTGTAATAACGTCTTTTGTGTTGTACTATCATCAAAGCAGCCATAGTACCTGGATACGGCGAAAGAGTAATTCACCTTAGGTGTTAACCGCGAGGTATGACTTGGACGTTAGTGAGTTGGTCAAAGTCGAGTAGGCCCACAATCAGTTGACAAAGGTCATCTGTGTTCATAGTCTACAATCTTTTGATTCCATTCGAGATGGTGTTATTTGTAATTCATCGTATATTTTGTTTTCCTTATGTTTCCACTGAATCTCCATGTCTTTCCCGAACCACATCTATGTTGCTTTGGTAGATATTTGGTTATGATGGCTGCAGTAACGATTTGCTCCCGTTTTTGATTTTGTTGTATTTTTGGTTATGAACTGAAGTACTCCTCAAGTATTGCAGACACTCCGTGTTATAAAAAATTAAGCATTATCTTTTGAACAGTCTGTACATGATCTATCCAGGAAAAATAGGAAAACTTTTATTTGTTGCATATGGTGAATTTCTTATATCCTGTATCAATCTATTTATTTAATATACTTTATCTTTTACTACTGTCTGAATACAACTTGATTGTACTATTTGTTTGGGTAATAATGTACGTTCAAATTTCTAAGAAACCGAGAACCATCATTTACATAATTACCTTTTTGTTTTCAACTAAGCGATAGAGCATATCTAAGTTGACATAAACAGTTATTCAAAATTTAGAACTCGGTTAGTTTGGAAGCTACAGTCCTGACAAAGCAGTGAATAATAGGAGACCTAGTGCCTAACTACTGCATCCGTCTAAAAAGTCTGTTGAAATTCCGACGAAGAATTGCTGCTCATCGAATACTCCAGTATAAGTTCTTTTAGTTAGTATTGCTGCTTTAACCGCCATCACTAGGATAACTATAGGGGTACTTAGTGTGTCAGTAATGCGTGCATAACATACGTCTTCTGTTGCAAAATGGCGTCAAGCACAAATACAACAAGATGTTATAGACTTTTATAACAAGTGCCGCTGCAAATATGTGGTTCCTTAAACCGTTCTCGTATGCTCGCAGTAAAAATTGCCTTTTTAGAATGTATTCCGATAAATCTATAACCGCAAATTTTGCATTTGATTCGCCAGCAAAATCATCCATAATCCCCCGATTTTAGGGTTTAAGAGCGAATATACTTCGTTGGTTTGTTGTAAGGGACAAAACTCAGGGAGGTTTTAATGGTGTAGTAAACTTAGAAACTGTCGTGTCTTATTAAAATTCGTATTCTGGCATAGAGGCTTGTTCAGTAGCATATTCGCTGAATATCGTTTGAACATTTACGCTCTACATGCACGACGATATTTCTGTGTACTGGAGAAGGAATCAAAGTGTACAGTGCACTTTTCTATACACATCATTGAAAACTAGTAGCAGCTGAATGAGCTTAATTCTAAAGGGTCCAATATAAACTGTTTATATACTTGACGACAATCTCATCCTGTTGAAACACCTCTAGTTAGCTTGAAAAATGTTCTTTCCAAAATTCACTTATTTTCACGTAACCTTTGTATTTCTGTTTGCATCAAACATCGTAGCATAAATGATATAGAGACATATAGCTTTGATAATTTTTGTGACAAACTACCATGGTATCTTGCGTTTTCGTATGATGTTTTATATGTAATCACATTCAAATTCAAAGTTCATTAATCATTCGTATCAACTGTAAACAGAATTCACTTGTAACAGACAGATGCACCTGTCCCATCTGGTGTTCAGGTTAATATTGCCTACAGGCTCCCATACCAGCTATAATAACAACGAACTTCTATCCAAGAAGATAATCACATTGTAGTAACCATTTGTGCCGGTGTTTGCTACGCGGATTTGTAGGCCTCGGTTACTTCCCGAAAATGTTGGCGTGTTAGTATTTTGCTTCACGTTGTCATGCCACTCGTGCCACAGGGTATTCAATAAGTGAGTGAACCGCGTTTGTGGCGGTTACCTAATAACGAACATTCAAGTAACATTAGTTACAAAACTGCTGTTATTCTTTTGTAATTTAACATAAAAACTAGTTACGAGCGTTATTTTTTACCATTTTCTTATTCTTACACTTCCATGTTAGTAACAGTATTTATTTTAGCATAGTATTTTTGCTTTGAGTATTGTGAGACTGCGACTGAGATTTTGCACAGGTTCACTACAGTACTGCATACCTTACTTTAACATTAGGTCAAATAGGAGCCGCTCATTACCAAAGCAACAAGCATGTAGTTCACACAAGTCATCCCACTGTTTTTGATAATATTTTTCGTCATATTTAGTAGCTCAGATGAACTGCTGTGTTTCGTTTATATTTTCGTTGGTTTCATTTCTTAATAACCTCAATACCTAAATATACTCCTAAACGGTATTTCATCATAGAGCTAGTCAAATTTCACTAAACCCGGGTCGAATCATTCAGTAGGCAGTTCAGTGAATATCAAATAGATTTCGGTAGTAATATGATGGGATGAAATGGCTATGGTAATTTTTTAATTCATAGTGATTCTTATTCGACATTACTTCCGTTTTTAATTGAGTATGATTATTATTCAATGTATTTTTGCTCTATTTTCAGCCGGATATTCCATTCAGTATAAAATTGACTTATTTTAACGTGAATTTTATTCAAGATTTGACATTTCCGTGCTTGCACTTTTCGTATAAGTGACTTTTTCTAAACAATGATCAAAGTGGGTGTTCAGTTAACATATAAATGAGTGTATTTTCGACTGCGGTTGTCCTATTTCGAGGATTGATGACTTCATTTGTGCCAGTCTTATCTCTTACCTTTCACCTCATGTCGTCAGGATCGTAGTTGTTTCTTATTTCAAGAATAAGTTTCAATTAATGCGGATACTACACTTGGACTCAGTCTATTCATCCTCTCATCATACTGAAGCCATGTGGCTACAGGAACCCGAAAACTTACTTTACCTCAGGCAACAGCTGTCAGTTTGTGACCAGTGCTTGAATCTAGGTAGAATGAACACTAAAAGTTGAAAGAGGTCTTAACATCCATATGGATAAAGGTTTCTCTTATCGACCAGAAGGTTGGAAAAATTTCAGAAGCTATTGCACACCAATATGAAACGGTTTTTGAGTCTTAACCACCAATGGCTCGTCAAGCTATGTAGCCATACTGAGACTCAGAAACATCATCATTTCTAACAGCACTCCATACCTCAGTATCACCAGCAAATAACGTAACTGATGTCGATGGAAGGCTTACGTCGTCTCTACACAGATGGAATAAAAATAATTCCGTAAATCTATCATGTGGCACTTCGATAAGGAAAGTTTGTAGAATTATGGTCTACTATTATATTAGTACTGCTCTAATAATAGACCTAATCCTAAATTTTGTAGATTTATCATGATATAACTTGCTAATCTATAAGATCTTACGTGGAAGTCACACCATCGACTACACCAACTCACTGTATCGTATCAGTTATTAATACATGATGTAGAACAAGGTTAGGCTAGAGAAGGAACAATACACTCTTTGTTGAAGCCCGAATAGAAAATCACTTATCCACATAACTAAGTTACATTTAGTCCCGATACCTCTTATTTTAGATAGCAGTCTGCTGTGTGAGAATTTGCCAGAAGTCTACTCAAATAGATAAAGGTTACATCTGTAGGCAGTCTTTTTTCTTTAGGAGCACATCTGACCTATGGACCTATTAATTCGTTCGTGGGATGATAACAAATTGTTCTGAAACTACATTGCTTTTCGGAGAGGAACAAATTTTTGTCCAGGTACATGAAGTACTGCCTGTCGACAGCAACTAACCGAATTTCACGATTGTTCCTAAACCGAGTTTAACAAACCAATTATCAAGTTCATTAATGATTGCCGTTTCCAGATTATGGGTTGGAGGACTTATCTTTACCGGAGAGAAAAGCATCTCTATGGTGCACAAAAGTTGTTATCAGGACACTTTGGTTTCCCCTTAGCTATGTTTGTTGCTAATGTGGCATCACTGTCTCCATATAATGCTAGTATACTAGCTTCTCTTTGTCCTTTGATCTGTGTGTGAATAGATAGTATAGATCAGATTCATAAACTCATGAACAACCAAGCAAACTGCACAGTTGAAGTCTCTTATGACTCATCTGATCTATGATGGAATCTATTTTAGTCTGACTATTAGTCTGTGAAAGACATGAATGTCACATACATTTTAGGCGCAGTACCACTTGAGTTTGGTTATACTCCAGAAATTGTACCTTAGTTTTAAATATTTTCAAACAAGTTCTCAGGTATAACTAAATCATTTTTTTCCATTTATTTTATTCGAACTAGCTGAAAAGACATTGAGAATTAGACGCTTTAAATGCACTAATAGTCGATGAACTTAAGTGTTGGTCACTTTTGTAACTTTAGTGGCAACTGGGGGGAATGGAGGATAACTCTTCTCAGTGTCTTCTGAATTGGTGCATTGAACAAACCAAAACGTACCCATATATTAATATCACTGATTTCACATCATCATGGAAAGATGGTCTGGCGTTTTGTGCCTTAATTCACAAACATTTCCCTGATCTAATGTAGGTTGAACAGGACAGTAAATTGCATCTCACTTTTTAAAGAGATTTTTCGCACTTGAAGTCTGAAGATGCTGTAACAAACCTTAAGTTGGTTGGTTATTATATATCCTTTATGTATGATGATATATTTTAGGCGTTTTTCGTTGCAGAAACAAAATTGAATATACCGGTGCCTACAAGACCACAAGTCATAGTATTAGAAGATGTAGATGAAAAGATAATATTTGAATACGTTTCTAAGTTGTATGGGGCATTAACAAGAAATTCAGGTAATACATGACTATCTGTTTCTAAATATCCAGGTCAATTAGGTTCAGATAAGCTTTCAGATAAAAACTTATCATATTTGGTATGCCCTTGCAAATCTCATATTATACGTTTTTAGTGTGAACAGGAAGAGGGACTTCTTATATGTGACCTTTGTGGGGAAACTATATTTCGTGTCGAGCAGCTGACTGTTTTCAGTAGGAACTACCATCGTAGTTGTTTTCGTGACAACCAGTTAACTTATCTTAAAGAGCGGAATAAAACACTAAAGGGTTCCAACTGTTCTGATGGTTCACCGCTGACTAAATTCCCAGGTAAACGAGATCTATTTGTCTTCTCTTCATCTTCACTTCTAGTAGCGGATCCCTTCCCGATAAGATTCAGTCCACAAAAAGAATTGGACACTGTTAGCAATGGAAAAAGTCAACCAACATGCAAACCTCCTTCTAGACCGCCACTTCCTGATGTTTTAAGTAATAATGCGTCTCCTGAACTGAATAGTGTTTTGAAGATAAAAGCTAAAATATCAGCTGACATAGAACAGCGTAAAAATAACTCTAATTCCAAGCATCATAACATCGTTTCTTATCCTGCTGCTTTAAATCCGTTCGAAGATGACTCTTTGTGTGATCCCAGCTCTCAGCATGAATGTACCTATAAGCCTTACAATCCATTTGATGACGATTTATCAGCCTTAGACTCGGAAGAGATTAATATTTCAGATTCTGACCACTCAAACGTATTAAGTATATCAAACCCTCCATCTCTGGTATCCACGCCTAGTAACCATATAAACAAGTACATGGGACAGAGTAACCAAAATTTTTCCATGGAAAAATTAGTCGCAGATGAATCAGTCAATCTTCGGACTGCTCACTCTTCTATATATGATTTATCGAGTTTACTCGCTTATGGTAGTCTGAATAAAGCACAGTCCTCTTCACTAAGCAGTGATACAAAACAGTCCTCAAAATCTCCTCTTAATGGATCAAATGCAAAGATAAGTAGGTCAGTTAACACCAAAGGGCCTGCCCCACCTATTCCTGTTTTATGCCGACGTGATGTAAGACGCGATCAGCAAAGCGACTTCATTCCATACACTGAATTACACAGACAACTATATGATATAAACAATGAACTTTCCAATCTGGAACTATCTGCTCGCGAAATTCAAACAAGTATTAAAGAAAGTAAGTAAGATACTCTTTTTATAGACGTGGCCATAGTTTTCACTTTCATATAATATTAAATATAGGCCTAATGTCTACATAAATTCATACCTAAAACTAAATCCTGTGCCTTATGATCTCGAAAGTGGAAATAGTACATATTGTAGAGGATTCCAGTTACTGTAATTGAAGTTGCTTTCTAATATTTGTCTTGCACTGTCGCCTCACCAAAATAAGTTCTTTGATGTGTTAAATAAAAGTTTTGATTCACACCATAGCCGAACTCTTCTGCACTCAGCCACATCTAATTGTTGGTAGACTACAATTATATGTTTAGAACCAGCACTGTGCAAGTAGGACAGAATTATGTAAGGCACTTTCTTATCACTGCACGACTAATGAACTCCTTAAGTGCACGATATAAATCAAACGCATGTTTGAAACTATCTGGAAATAGTGTAGGTTATTCTGTCCTTCCTATATTGTTTTCATTTCACCCTGTGTTATTGTTATTTAACCAAGATTCCTTAATGCAAAGTACATCTGAAAAACATTTCAAACTAAAGTTTGTTGTCGTTTATACAAATTATTTTATTGTTGGAAACGGGTACGTCTGATCAAGTTCAACTGCACTTTTCATTTTGTCTTTCAGTTATTGCTTATGCTTTTTCAATAAATACTTCAGGAAACCACGATGCACTTTATTATTAAATAACATTCAGGTCTATCCATAACACCTGAAATTTAAACTGTTGCAATCGTTTGACAGTAAACAGATAGACCACTAAAGGTTTACTTGTTAGTGCAGTAGTTTAATTTATGTGGTTCAGCTGCATCCGGTTAACTTGCTCTTAAAGCAGTTTTTCCTCATCGCTTTCCTATCTAGTTTAACTTTGTAGGTTGACAAAAAACAAGTATATTTTGATTGTCTGTTGTCATTCGCTGAAAATCATGTTTCAAATGTAGACTAGAAGGTTTTAAATACTCTAATGGTTTCTCTTCAAGGCTTATTTTCTGCTCAGTTTTTTGTTTTTGCAGTAGTTAGCGTGTTTCTAGATTTTTAAACTTTGGCATGTACCCTATCCTTTACCTAGGAATTTTCATGCGGTTTTTTAAACTTTAAGCTAACTCTTTTGTAGAGATGTTTCATCAGATTTACGAATTTTTTTCGTACATTAGTGTCTGAAAATAATGAAAGCGTCAAGAGACTATTGAAAAAGTGGCTCCATACCGTTGAATTAAAGGATAATCTTTTCAAAAAGGAATCAGAGTTACTTCAAAGGTATTTCCTTTATTGAATGTTGCTGTCTAATTTTTGCGCTTATATTTCATGATAAATTTTCATATTTGCATGTAAATAGATTGTTGGAGAAGTGCATTTGAGTACCACAAAATGCCTCACAAAAAGGAATAACCAGTCCCTGAAAGAAATGTAAGAAGTAAAAGTGATATCATCTTCATAATCATAACGATCAAAGAAAGCAGTATGAGTAGAATCAATATCGCTTACAACAAATGGTGGCTGTGGTCACTCATCCACGTGGTTTTTGCTATTTTTTAAGGCAGTGTAATTTACCGACAGATACTCAGCAGAAATTTTATTTATTACACGCCAACATATAATAAACTGACAACCTTTTGTTTGCTGCAATCAGTCTTAGCGTTAACTTACTTTAATTATGCTTCTGTACATACTTAATGATCTCAATAATATTTAAGTGGTTTTGATGTCAACTGCTGCTGTCATTATGTAAACAGGAATGATCGAACGCTTATTACTATCAAAAATCTCAGTTTGCGTAGGTGGCTTTAGACGTACATAACAAAAGTGCTTGCACAACAGCGTTGTAAACCGCACTTTCTACAGGCAGGCTGCTATTTTAATGACATCTAAAGTGACCCACTATGGCAGATACTATACTGTTTCTCTCTGTGCTTATATTACTTTCCTCTGCTCCACCAGTTTCGGCACCTGTGTAATAACACAAACACCTAAATTTCTCGACTAGTTCTAAAACTTCACTGTTATCAGTAAATCCAAAAGAAGGCAATACAAGTCCTCCGGAGGTACTTTATATTTCATGTGTTGTGTAGTATGTACAAAAAGTAACAATGGACTTCAGTCATCATATATGAACTAAATTCTCATACAACATGTATAATAAGGATAGTATTTTGTACGACCTTCGAATCCCTTAGCAGTTTTATAAGAAATGGAGAAATGAATACACTTAGTGTTCTACATTTCTGTCGAATTTTTCAGGATATTCATTTTAAAAGATAGTATTTATGCTAAACGTTGGCAGTGTCTGTAGCAATCGTCACTGTAAATTCTTTATATATGCCTTCCATCAATAGTGTATTCCCCCTGAATTTCGTCTTATTGTCTTTTACAACATGAAGTTAAAGAACATAACTTGTGATAACTGATATTTGAATTAGGGAGATGTCATTCATATATGTTTAATTATTTTGGCTAATTGTGTTATAATGTTAAGCATTATATAGGCATTTCATCTGATCAGTGATATTGTATACAAAAGTGTCTAGTAAAGAAGAATTGAAGCTATTTACAAAATATTCTGAGAGCTATATTTTGTTATCTACTACTTGAATGACATTTTTAAAGTCGTTTTATCTATTTGTTCTATCGTAACTCTATAACAAAGTGCAAGTTTATTCACTACACTGACAGCGACACATTTTGTACGGTAGCAGAGTGATATAACTCCGAAACTGAAATAGATAGATCATACTTTTAAATTGCAACCTAGTTGTTGAAAACTGAGTTCTTTAGCCATTAAATGGTCACTCCATATCCAGTTTAGATACACAACTTTTAATCAGTTAGCCCTCTGTTTGAAACTTGGCTTATCTATCCAAGTTTGTGTAACATTCATTTATACTTTTTCCAACATATTCTGTTCGATCAAGGGACTAATAACCTAATGCACTTGAAACGGCTTTTATTCATTTGATTTCAAACAGCAGACCTACTGTTTTGATATACGATTGTTGTCTATTTGATTCTGAATTTAAAACTTGTATAGCATAAGGGGAATGTACATATATGTTTCCGGTAATTTATCCACCATTTTCTCATTCAGTTGAACTTCGGTCAGTAATCGTCAACTTTTTTGTTTAATATTTATATATAAAGCTCAACGTATCTCTAACTTTAATTTATGTCGACAGGCTTCGTTGTCAAGAGCTAGAGGATCGTCATGCTGATTTAGAATATGAACTACGAACGCTAATGGCCAAACAAGGTGGGAATCTTTATATTAGAAAAGTATCCTGTACTGCATGCCTAATCAAATCCCTTTTACTGTTATCACATTTCGGTGATAGATATCTTATAACAATTTTAGCTCCGTGTTTGGAAAATTAAGTGTACGTAAATTGGTATTTGTATTTATAGTTTATTAGATTTTACATGTATCTTATTGTGTTTTTTTTAGATATTCTAATGTTTGGTTAGATCTTCCTGCCCTATTATTTAACATGGTTTTCAGCTTTTTTGTTCATAGTGTGAGTCTTAACGATAGGATCTTTTAAATGCTGCTTGAATTAAAAAGTAGAACCCTCGTCAATGTAATAGTCTGCAATTATGTAGAAACGCATAGCGTAAAGTCGAAATCATTTACATAGGTTACCATTTCTTTTCGAAAAACAGTTTATTTCATTCACTACTAAACTACTGATCGAACTCTTACTAACCACATATTGTAACTTACATAGGGTAATTATCATTTCGCAGTCTTCAGTTATAACTAATTTTATGTCTAATCTTCAATTTTATTTTGAACATATTTTAGTATTGTGTCACTTGTAATAACTGTTTAAGCAACTCAAGAATAATTGAACCAGGATAGTATGAATTGAATTAATCATATGGTTCCTTGTCAATTTTAATCAATACCTGTTAAATTCCAAGATAACATAATATTATCTAATTACAACAAGTGTATGAGATACTTTAAGTGAAAAATAATGTTTGTAAGTTTATTTATAAACGGAATGACTAGGTGAATATTCTATAAAATACTAAGGAGGGACGATACATGAGTTATTTAGAATAATAAAATCGGCAACATAAGTTACGTATTGGTTATTAATTTGTATTCTGAAACTACCACCCAAATTCAAAACAGAAGTATTAGATTCTGTTATTTTCTCACGGTTCTGGTTTCTTCATTGTTGTAATATTGAGTATTATTCCAAAATTAATGATAAATAAACTGCTAATGAAGTATACTTTTATTATAACGCGCGTATCGATTTCATTGTTTTCAACCTCATTTTCGGTCTTGTTATATGTGTAGTGATTTTATATTGTACAGTCAAAGGAGAACGTAGTAAAGAACCTATGAGTTAGTTGTTGGATAACTAGACTTTCAATCACCAGGTGGTTGAAAGTTTGAATCCAGTTCCATATAATTTAGTTTGACCGACTGATCCGTATCACTAGCCCTTACATAAATAATATTCCTCAGATCCAAATACATAAATCTATACTTAATAATGGAATAGACAATTGTGACTATCTGTTAAGTTTGTGAATCTTCATTTGAACAGATAATTAAGATATGTTGTGTATGTTTAGTCACTGTTCTCTGTAATATGCAATAATAAAAGAACAGCATAATTCTGCTAATCATAAGTATGAGATAAAGTCGTAACAATTGAATTTTTTTTACAACCACAAAACCATTAGTTTCGTATTCTAGGTAATATAGTTAAGCATCAAACCCTTTTGTGCATATGTTTTTAAATATTGAAATCTATACTTTTATAGTTCTTTCCGTACTTTCAATTTTTTCTCTTGTATCATTTAAAAGTATGATCCTTTAAAACAATTCATTTTTTAAGAGATAATTCTCGTCACGAAATGATTTCAACTACAGAACAATTGAATATTAGAAAGTGGTAAACAAGTGTATACTTCTAGTTTCGTTGAATTCCTTTATTATATAATCATTATATTGGTAATGTTTTCATTTATTTGGTCATTTTTTATGTTTCTGATTCAACGAAGTAAGATGAAGTCTGTTTTTTTCTTGTCAAGATAAAATTGATTACTACCTAATCTATAAATCATATACAATTAACTTTCCAGATAGAAAGGATATCAAACAATGAATAAATATAATCAGTCTTAAGATAAGAATGAGAAAATTGTTTTACTCAAAATAGCAAATCTACATTTATCAATTGTTTTCACTACTCCATTTGCTTGCGCACAATACTAACAAATTTATAGACAAAATAATAGTATTAATTATCAGATTTTTGTGAAGCACATTATTTTTACAGTAAAGTAAAGTAACAATTCTAAGTAAACACTACCAAACTAGTATGAGTTTTCTGTTATAAATAACTCATTGGAATAAAAATTTTATATATATATAAGCAGCAATCGGGAAGATTAGGGTTTGGAGATGTTATTTAAAGAGTATAATCCAGTGAAATAAATTTGGAAAGAGGAAAAAAGGGACATGAAGAATTCACAAGATTAGAATTTGGGAGAACACAGAGAGTGGATGCACCTGCGCCATTGCAAACGATTTTGAGCCATGTCATTCAGGGTCTCTAACCATCGGTTGCTATCATCTCGCGGTCCCCAACCAGGTAGTCTACACCTACCAACATGACTCAGTTCACTTGCCAGTGACTTCATGGACTTGTGCCCTGTCTTGGTTTGACCGCCCCTAGCTTTCTTCCAACCTACTCCTATACCACTGAACATAGCACGTCGAGGTAGTCGGTTGTGGGCATACGTAGCACGTGTCCCAGCCATCTCAACTGATGAAGTTTCACTACTTCATCAATCGATTTGCCATCCGTACCTAGTACCCGTTTCCTAACAACTGTGTTACTTACTCGATGGTCCCAGGATATACGAGCAATGTTTCGAAGACACCTATGATCGAATACTAGTAACCTACAAATATCCTCTACTCTTACCGGTCATGTTTCACTGCCATAAAGTAGGACGGAACGAACTGCTGCACAGTAAACACGTCCTTTGGTTGATAGACGGATATCTCGCCTACGCCATAAATGACGCAAGTTGGCAAAAGCTAGTCGAGCCTTCTGTATCCGTGCTGAGGTTTCGTCACATACCAAACCACAAGGGCTGATGAGACTTCCAAGATAAGTGAAGCGGTCGACACACTCAACTACTTCACTCCCTATCATTAGTTCGGGTGTCGATGTAACCCAATCCTGAAGCAACATTTTTCATTTCGAGGGAGAGAATCGCATCCCGAACACGCTTGCATTGTTGCTTAGAATGGTCAGAAGACTCTGCATTTTGTCAGCGTCTTCACCAAATAAAACTATGTCATCTGCATATTCTAAGTCAACAAGTGAACCTCCCGGTGTTCTCATGAATTAAACATGCTTCATTGAGTATTGGTTCACATATCATAAAATAAAGCAAATAATTCAATCAGTCAGGTAAGACTGGTTGTGTATTATATCACATAGTAGTATCTGAAATTTGTAATATTCATTTTACTAAGAGATATCAAAAATATATTTTTCTCCTCACTTATAGTTCAGGTTCATATCTTTAAAGATCCATAAATAAAACTAATGGTTATATTAATTGTGATCTGAAAGTTTTTAATGATTACTTGTATTTCAGTGAGCTAATTTCTAAATATTAAACTATTATGTTTCTGTTTCAAGCTTTCATTCACTTGATATACAGTCCTGACAGCTTGACAGAATTATCAAGTTTCAAGACCTTGTCCACAAACTTGTACATAGTTGAAATGTAGCGTTTACAAAAATCTAAATACTATTTATTTAACTCTATATCTTTGTGATGGATTGTATACATAAAATGAAGTGAATAATCAGTAAGGCATTTTATAACTAAAGCTAACTAATATTATATTATACTTACTTTCAAGAAGCAGCTTATAATAGGTTACGAAACGTGAGAGATTTAATTCTCTACTCACTGGAATATTACAAATAAATCAGAATTTTCAGTGTTAGAAATCGCTAAGTTCATAAACATATGATTTATAGGTGTGCATAAAAATATTCAGAATTTTTTCTGAAATAAAATTTGCATGCTATGTGATAATAATAGGCTCATTAGATTCGCATAAGCTTGCACCTGATACATACAAATTTTAGTGTTATTCGTAAGAAGGTAATGAAAACGAATTGTGACTTTATGTTTCATTATAATACACCTTTATTGTATACTTTTTGTGTAGACATTCTAAAGACTAAAGAAGAAAAAGCTCGTGAAGAAGAACTAATTGCTGACTTATTGTGTGTGGTTGACAAAAGAGCTGAACTTTCAGAATCCACTGGGGATTTCAAACCAAAGTATGTGTTTGTTTATTATAATAAGAAAAGCTCTAAATGAATATTAATGATTTATTGTAGTAATCAGTCGTCATTTTGTCTGAACTTTAACGGCTAAATCCAGGAAATTAGAACACAATGTGATCAATGGACTGGGTGAATCTACATTGTAATGCACTGTGTATGGTATCAGGTTGTTAGAGATACTTAGAAAATCCTGGATGTAAACTTCATATTGTTCTGTAGTAATTTTTAATCGCAATGTCAATTTTACCTGTCTATCGGCCATATTTGAATATGATCGACATGACTTAATTAGTACTAAGAAATAAGCGTCCAGTAGACCGCCGATAAGTTGAGTACTTCAGTGGCAACGTTTCTGATCACAAAATCTAGTGTTGCAGGTCCTAATCCCATAGGGAAAACAATCTTCCAAGTTTTGCTATACTTACGTTAATGACAGCTCAAAAACCATTGTAAACTATTTCGTGTTTAACACATTCAGTGATTTATTTTATACTCTTCAAGTCCTTTCATACTTGTTGACACCTATCAGAAAGTATATCTGCAACCACGTGTTCATTCCAAAATCTTAAAATATGTTTTAAAAGACGAATTTAAGAACTTCACAGATAACGTACTCGCGTTAGACAATCCTTAGGTTACTACCCAACAGACAGTTTCTGTATGTTGCGAGCACATTCATTCGTACACGATTTTGGAAGTGGGTGGCGATTCGAATACGTTTCACATCGTAAACCAACTACTCATTTTAATAGCTGAAAAATTCTCATTATATTAAAGCACGACTATATGAACGAAGAATATTTTCTTCAATAATTTCTCATCAGGTTCTACAATTATATAGCTAAATTATTAATCCATAAAATTGGCTAGGTTTAAGGCAGAGTACATCATTTAAAGTTATAGCTTGATGTACTCTGCCTTAAGCCTGGCCAATTTTACGGGTTAGTAATTTGGATATATAATTGTAGAAAAGAATATTCTTAGTTCATATAATTTTATTTATTTCAAACGGTCTTCAAATAGAATACCTAAGCCAAATTATTTTTTTTAACTTGATAAAAATATTCTACTTATGATCCAATATTATCATATAATTGTTACTAACTGATCAATAAAAAATCAAGTAGTTGGACATTTTCAACCTAATGCTTAGTATTTGCAGTAACATTTGTTAGTGTATACGTTTTGTTTTTTATAGGCATCGAGCAAGATCATCTAGTCGAAGAACCCTCGAAAGTAAATTCAAACGTAAGTTTGTCCTTAATAAATTCAGTCCATCAAAGTATTTTTCAAACTCATGGTGTTAGTCACAGTTAATGTAGGGGAATTTTTGATAGTTATAAATACCTTTAGATGGTTGATACTACGATCTAGATTCCATTATCTTCAAATATCGGAAAAAGTTATAATCTACAACTCCTATGAAGAAAAGTTACGTAGAATATATCTTACCAAGAAAAAGGGAAATCCAGGATTAGGATTGTATTTGCACAAACAAAAAGATATTACACATTGGCTTGATATCTAAGCTCCTATATGCTATTAAACTGTCATCATTAACAAGATTGGTTATTTCTTCATCTATGAATGGCTTATAAAAAAACTAATTTACCAGATAAAAATGACAATTCATTATTAGCTTTAAGAACATCACAGATTTTTATAGATAAAATATTATATTTACAATTATAAGTTAGGCTCGAATGAAAAGAGACAGTATGAGTATTATTTTCGTAACCGTCCTGTTTTTGTAGTTGAGGGAGTTACCATCACCGATCATCCGAGTGCTAGACCTTAATTCTTCATACCCTATTACGTTTGATTATACTTCGTACTCAAACCTAAATTTGTTGATTCCAGTTTCATCAATCTGCATTCAACTTGTTTAATATAGGACTTCAACAAAAAATGTCACGTCACAATGTAGCTCATATCCGTCTGAGAATGATTACTGTTGAAACAAATTAGTTAGGGTCGAGAAGTTCAAAAAGGAAAAGTCGGTCAGTTATGTGCATTGTAGAACCTTGTGCACCAGTTCAAGTTACCACATCATATTGGCACAGCTATATGAAACTATTAAGACAAATGCTATAGATGTAGTAGCGGTGTGAAAAATTAGGCCTTCAAAGTATGATTAGAAAAGAAATAATGAATTTTTAGGATGAAAAGTACAAGTAATCTTAAATAAGAGGTATTTGGAGAAAACCTATTTGTGCCATGTGAGTGATTCTTCGTTATATCACTTAACGTCTCCAACCCAGTAGTCCATAACTAGCTTATAAAGCTCGATTCAACTGTCAGTGACTGGATGATGCTACGTCTTAGTTAGACTGCCTTTAGCATTCTTCCAACTTCTACACCACCAGACATCGAGGGTTAAGGTATGCGAAGTTAGGGTATACATCAAGCACGGCCCGACTACTTCAGTCGACAAATATCCACTATTTCATCAACTGATTCTCCATTCTTACCCAGTGCCATGTGTCTAACCTCAAAAGTGCTTACTCGATGACCTCGGCAAGGATTCGAAAAGATCTGTGGTCTGATATTAGTAACCTCCGAATATCCTCTATCTCTAAGGGTTGTTTCACAGCCCTATAGTAAAATAGAGTGAACTGCTGAACATTAGAATTGTTCTATGGTTGGTAGGTAAATAGATATCTCGTCAACACCACAAGTTGGCAAAAACCAATAGAGCTCTTGTCGGACACTAAAACACCAGGACTGATGAGGCTTGCAAATGGCGTGATAGAGGGGCTCAACTACTTTACACCTTATCACTAGTTTAGACTTTGAAGCAAACTGATCCTGAAACAACATTTTGCATTTAGAAAAACAAAAACGCATCCGAAACATTAATTGACAAGTTCTTCATATTCCATACAGAAATTACCTAGTGGATAGAAATCCTAACTTATTAGTCATAATTGTCTGCCTCATTTGTATATATTTGATTAATTTTGACTAGTTTTTTTAAATGTTTATTTCTTGTGGCTATTTATAATCTAGAAATATGCCTTAGTTTGCGACATCCTAGTCTGTCACAAACGAATTTATCAACCATTCGGGATAAATCATTGAAAAAAGTACGGAAGTTGAGAGCTTCTACCATATCTCGATTGAAAAACAAGACATTTTTTCGATAGAAATTGCTAACTTTATAAAAACTATATATTCGTATAGACCCAGCTCCGCATCAAATGGACTATCATCGCATTAATAGTATTATCATGCATGGACTTTTATGCATCCGGTATACTCTGAGCTGTTTTTACAAACAATTTTTATCTGTTTACTTTTATTTGTTATCAAATTGTTTTTCTTTATTTCGAAAATAGATACTGCAAACAGCATATGATACGTCTTATGTTGTGTAATATATATTAACAATACAAATAAGTGTATAGCTAAAGCGACGAAAAAATTAATTAAAAAAGTATAAACCACAAAATTACAGTTAACTATAGGTAACAATTTATTTCCATCTTTTTTTTGTTTTGAAAGGCAAATAATGTTTGACAGTATTACAAAGACTAGTGCCGTAATTATAGTAGAGATGTGTGCTAGATTTTAACATTATTTTATAATGAGATTCTGAGATTGTTACTATTCAAAAGATGGGTAGCTATATATGCACACAATTGTATATTGCACAATTTTCGAATCACATTTACGAAATGATTGTGGATAATGATAATAATAAAAATTACAATATTAAGATGATACGTCGTTTGTTAACGGTGCCGCTTGTTGCATTTCTTGATTTATAACAACTGATCCTCTATCGGTCGTTGATTGTGGATTAAAAGAATCAATAGACGGGATACAGCCAGTATCTGTATTTTGATTGGCAGATGAAGTTGACACGGTTGGTATGCCAACTAAAGGAAAATGTATGCCATGACAGCAGGTAATGGGAGCACCGCGAATATGCCTATTTGAACATGGCAAAATTGATTTTAAACATGTATTAGTATTTCCCGCAACTGACGTGTTACTTGTACTCACCGAGGTTGTGGTGGGGGTAGGCAACGATTGATTTGCTGCATTAGTTTGTGCTTCTGTAATAAAAAAATACATATTTGAGATTGCTTCATGTAGCATAAATTAAGTTAAATGCATAATTATTAATAAAATCAAATAGCTTACGTGTCGTTGCAGAAAAATCAGAAGTACGCGGATCTGTAGTGGTGGGTGAAGAAATCTCTGCAACCACTTGTGTATTCAATGAATCTTGTTTGTCTAATTTGCCTTGATTTGCTGATATATCAGTAACTTCGAATGAACCTGTCGAAACTGTAGGAGTTAACCATGGAAATTCGACACAGGGTGGTAATAAGGAACCATCTACAGAAGCTAAACATCGACAAGGTTGTCTGCTCCGCCAACGGCAGTCATAAGCAATTAGTTCTTCAGTTGACCGACCATCATTAGGGATACCAAATCTAGCTTGCAGGAATCCTGGCCAAGGAATGTTATGCTACATAAAAAAAGAAATTTTATGGATGGGTCATACAAGAAAATTTTCAATTTAATATTTGTTCCTAAACTTCAGTGTGTAAAAAGGCATACAAAATGTGTAAGCCATTGAATAGAGCTTTCATATCATTCTTATACTGTGTATCATATCGAGTCATTAAGTTAAACGATCATTGATACTCCAAAATGGCTAGAAGAGTTATTCGAAGGACATTTATAGCACTATGCAAAAAGTAATACCAAAACCGAATGATATCTATTCTAAAAAGATAATTTGATCACCCCTGAATGCTCGTATAAACAGTTGGACGAATTCTATATTGATTAACATAGCATTATGATAGATATAACAATTAGTTGTAAACTAATATAATTTAATCACCACATATTACTAACGTTTGAATGAGTGATATAAATTAATAATTAAAATTACTTACTTGTAAATGTAAGTCTAGGAGAATTTCAGGAGTGATTTTAGCTTCATTTGCAAGAAACTCACGGCAATGATAGCAGGGAGAGATTAAATAAGCTGGTAAATGAATTTGATGTAGATAATCATGCGTATCACATAAAGCACAATATGAATTACGAGGAGCAAGTGAACTGACATCCAGAAAAAGTGCACTGTTCGGATCATTTTTAACTTTTTGTTGTTTCCCTGGATCTTGATTCTCTTTTGTCCCATCTATATCAGATAAACCAACTGATACAGGACATGGAGTTGGGGCTGTGATTAATTAATGAAAAATAAACTGTTACATTTTTCAATTCCGTAACAATGCTGTAATGAAATAGATGTCATAACTTTACTGATGTATACAAAGAGTACATACCATTTAAAATATATTTAATTAAGTAAAATTAATGAAAACCCGTGTAATTGTTTGTAAGCAGTCAGCTGGTAGGTTTTGTGTAAACCAATTATTGCTGTACTGTTACAGAAAAAAGGTGATTTATGTATCATTACCGACTTAACTTACTTTACACATTTGAATATAACAACGCTACAACACCTCTAATTATTAATATTTCAAACAGCTAGTTGACTAAACCAAGACGTGAAATTCTCCATAGTTTGATATTTTAGCTCATCTAATGAGGGTGGGGGGAAATCAGCTTTCTGATTTGTGCTAATCAGTAACGCCTGAACACAAAATCATCTGCAAGTATTTTAGCTATTATTAGATGATTTGAGGATAACTTGTTTTACAACAATTTGTGCAATATTTGCATCAAATTTAACTAATGTTACTAACCAGAAATATATGGTCACAGTTTTGGAAAAGTACATCACCCATTAATACATATGTATTATTAATTCAACTCAATAATTATTACCCAATTTTATGATCTAGGCTATAAGATTTATACGTGTGAATACCAACGATAACGTTGGTTTTAAATCTGTGACTAAATTTCTATGTAGGTCACTTGAAAAATATTTTATGTGCGTTCTTGACCACTATTATTTACAAAGTCATTATCAGTAAGCAAGTACATATGATCAATGAAATTTATTGAATTATAATAGTTCTGTGTACGGATAAATGTCGCTGAAGAATTATTGAGTAAGCATTATCATTAAAATTTCGTAAGACACAATTCTGAGATATAGTAATCGACTTTTGAATAAAAGTAATTGAACCATATTTGCACCAATGGTGTAATACATGGCAGACAAAGTAGACAGAACAATAAACTATTCAAATTCAAATGTATTGAACTAAGAGCTACATGTGTTATAAGCGGATAACTGATATATTCTATTTGTTAAGATCAATTACCAAATGGTTGAGTGACAAGTGTATACACTACTGATTAAATATGATTTATGCTAATTATCAAGTAAATGACTACAACCTTCCAAGTGTTTACACACATCACTGAATAATCGGTACATAAACGTCGATATTTTGGTGACCAATGCATATAGGAGGAATATACTCGAAAATGAATGAGGTTAATAACTAATAATTAATAAAACATTTTATTTATAATCAATTTACTGTAATGGATTGAAATAATTAAAAATTTATTCAAAGAAAGTTTAATACGAGAAAAGTATAAATTAAACATACGATCTTGCGTTTGATCTGCACGTTGATGCAATTGAACCTGTGTAATATGCTCAGCACAGGCTTGTACTTCATTTGAAATTGGTACATGATTTTGGTAATCTATCGATCGAATGTCACCTAAATTCTATGTAAATAAAATACAAATAGAAAATATTGAGACAAAAAAAATATGTAGACGATAGAATGATAAGAAGAGAAATTTGATTTACAATAAGAAGAGGTATATATCATATACAAAGCTAGGGATAATGGACTATTCAAACTATGCATTTTAGCAAAAAGAATTTAATATAGACATAATTAGAATAATTTTGGATGAAATGACTTTTAATTAAGTAATCATGTTGAAAAAGCATTCAAACAAAAAATTTAGACTTTGGATTCAACTTAACAAATATTATAATTTTCTAAAAATTACCTGAAATCCAATTCACTGGTAGTGTATAAACTATTTCTTAGTATTTTGCTATCTATCCTGGTAGAATATTGTTTCTTTTAAGGAATTGAATGCATATTATATACAAGTATTTAAAATTCACTGTCAAGAATAGCAGTAGTGATGTTAACAATGAAGAACTATATATTAAAAACTTTATTGTCATCTTTTTGCCATTTACATGCATGTGAACAACATAAATCAAAATAAATGTACCCATATCTGCCGCCAACAAAACTTTTTATCATAAATTTTAGTGGTAACACTAAAATTTCAAACTACCTGATTGGGATCCCCGTGATTATCATAACCAATAATGGTTGGAGACGTTCAATGATATGGCACATAATTGGCCACAATCGAACAGATTTATGCACTCTTTGTCCTTTTTTATATCTTGAGTTTAAAAGTTATTTGATAATTTTTATTTTGCGGATTCGTTCTTATTTTAGAATCATATTGTTTTTGACCAATCTTTTCTGCTGATACTGATTCTCTTACTACTTCTACTATTATAATCCTTGTCTTGATAACTTCATCTCTCTGTGCTGATTTCGTGTACTAGCTTGGACTGATGCACATATATGTATCAAGTTCTATGTTGTTCATGACTAACTGGACACTTTATCAGTTGTTTAGGAGAAATGATCCTCCCTGATAATTACAGTGACAAGATTATGGTCTACATCATTTTCATAAAAAGTAAAAAATGTACGCTAACCGTAAATTCAAAACACTTTATTCACTTAATACAATCTGTATGAAATAACTTATCTAAAAAATATATTTTTTCATTTACTGACTATTAACCTGAGTACAAAAATGTATGTTTGAAGTTTTTGTTACTTATATAAGTAATTAATTATGTCATAATCAATAAGAAAGTAAACTGTAAGAAGTTTCAGTTGTCTACTGTTTCACTTTTATTAAAATGCCATGATTCGTAAGAAAGTTAACTGAAAAATAACAAACATACTTGGTCATGATTACTCGAGACTGTATGTCCATTTTCATTATTCGGTGTAGCTGAGGATGAATGTATTGAACTTTTAGCTAACCCTGAATCTCTAGATGTTAAACGTTCTTTTGCTTGTTGATGAAGGTGAAGCGCAACAAGTTTTTCGTGCAGTTCAAGCGCGTCGAAATTGCTCTGCCTAGATGCTATTGAACTAGAATAGTAGAACAAATGAAGATTATATATATAATATGAATCATTATATATTGTTCTTTGGAAAACTAGAAGCTCTGTACAACTTAACTTGAGATAGAAAGAGTTTTCGAACAAGGATTAATCTTCTCTTATTATAAGTGGATACTGAATATCGACTATCCGTTACATTATCACATGAGTACCAACTGAAATCCTGAACAGAACAAATGTTTGACGTTTTCAGGATTATCAGATTAGTATGTACACTACGGTAATCGTCTTGCTCTATAGTTAACTACACAACAGTGATTTTAGCCAAAAAGAAATTCGAAATATTCTTCTAGCTGAAAAACATTTTGATAAGTGAATGAAAGTCATAATACCGGAGTTCAAGTTGTCTTGCATTCCTAACAAGTAAATTTCTATACCACGTAGATGTCAGTACCAAGGTTTGAGTTGACAATTTCAAATAACTTTAGCATTGGGCGGGTTGTTCTATACCACGGTTGCATTGAGCTCAGTCCAATTGTCATTGTCAACAGTATTCCTCTTCATCCTCATTTTATTATGGTTTTTCTCATGTTAGTTCGTTGCTCTCTTAATATGATGAATTTTTATTTTACTGCCATAGATGTTGTAAATACGTTTTTATATCCGATAGATGCCTGCTTAACTCATTCATTTTGTTTTTGTCTCAGTGAATGCTAAGAGCACGATCTGTATTTTTTATTACTAGAAGGTAGGGAGAAGAGAAAGTGAATAAGGTATATTCGAACTGAAGCGAATGGTTTCTCATCCCCATAAAGAACCTATATCAATGATAGAAAATGTCATACTACTCGTGAATTCGTCAA